CTCGAATTATTTTGTAATTTGTTTGAATTTTCTAATGATCAACATGGAACCGTCATGGCATAGTTGGCAACTGAGTGTGCATGACTGAAACTGTACCTTGCCAAAATTCAAATATCCAAATTACTCTACCCTACACTAAAATAAGGCCTTCAGGGACCAAATAAAACTCTGGGAAAGACCATAGCAGAAAAATCTGTTCATACAATACTAAATATTCGACAATCGTTTCGTTTATCATTCTATTGAAATATTTAAAAATAAAAAACTATTTGAAACAAATGATTGGCCTATAACATCCATAATGTGAAAAGATATTTTGACAAAACTCAAATCGGAGTAGAAAAAATGCGATTACTACGCCGAAGGTAGGTCGAAAAATCGTTCATATTGTATTTTGTGAATATCCAAAAGAGTTCTAATCTGGTTAACTTGAAACCTTCACCAATTATTTTCCTATATGCAGTTTAGCCTTGATCATTCCTTCGTATCGTAGTAATGAACAAAAAATGGATCTAGTTGTTTTTTAAAGAACCAGGCTTCTCGCTAGTCTTGAGAATACAAAGGAATTTTTACGCAAGATCAATGAGATATTCGGAATCAGCTTACCGAGCTGCACTATATGATGTAATAGTTACATTACGCTCATTTTGTATAGAAAAATGTGTTTCTCATGAAAATTAAAATCGCAGACCATTTGGTTACTAGATGATGTGGATAGATGTGAAAAAACACCCGTGATAAAACTACATCAACACTCTCGATCGGCTACAATCTATCTTAACTAAATAACAGATGAAAACAATGATTAGATGGGACTCTTTCACTCTTCCCTTGATTCAATTGAACATCACAACAGATTCACAAAACTACATGTGTTAAGGGTAAAAGCGAATCCACAAATGAATTCCAGTGTTGTCAAAACTTCTGTAATAGTCAAAAACTATTTATTTTTCTTATCATTTTTTCTCTCTAAGGTATTATATCATCTAATAATTTACCTATGTTACTCTTGTTTATGATGATAATAGCCGAATGATAACTGAAGAAAAAAAAAGCAGAAAAAGTAATCATAAGTAGAAGAAAATATTTTGAATTTTTATATTCATCGGCGAACTTACAACGTTTTGAAATAGTACGTCCTCCGATTAAAAGTCAATTATTATTAAATTAGCGACTACTAAAGGTAACAAGGGTGTGGATGTGGGTGTGGGTGGTGTGGGTGTGGGGTGTGGGCGTGGGTGGGGTAGCGGTGTGGGTATGGGGTGTTGGGTGTGAATGTGGCTGTGAGTGTGAGTGTGGGTGTCCTCTTTGTTCATACCTACACCCACACCCATACCCGCACACACCCACACCCACCCACACCCACACCTATTTCTCAAAAAGGTAGTCAACCAATAGGTGATGATTCTCAGGATTGGGGGGAGGGAACTGTTTATACGAATTCGTATAAACAGTCTGATATAAAATCAGCACTATCTAAACATGAAATGAAATTTAAACATAAAATAAATTATAATGATTGGAATATCTTGTACAAAGACAACTCTGCTCAAAGATTAAAGATTAAGGAATCTTTAGCTATTATAGCATTGAAACCAGATTTGAACGCAACTACTCGATCTATTCTATTTTTTATTTTTCCAGATGGTTCGAAGTATAAAAAGAAAGTGAAATTTAAATTAAAACAAAATGGATAAGATTCTTCTAGATTGCGTGACTCATAGGACATTAAGTGCAACTAATATATATATAAGATCACACATTCTCTTTTTTCCTTGTTTCCATCTCATTCTGTTTTACAAGTTCTCTAGATAATGACGACTAAAATCGTCGAAAGCTCGAGTGATTACTAATGTTAATGTTTTTTTTTGGTACATTATAACTATCTTTGTCTGATTAATTTTATATAATAAAATAAAAAAATATGATCTTAGCTGCTGTGAAATCTATCATTTATATTTTCAAATGTTTGCTCATTAAATCAAGTAACCATGATTTCAATGAAATATTTCCATATATTTGTCTCACTCTTTTCCATTGTCGCTCAAAAATTTAGCTTTCCACCATCTCTCTTTCAATAGATATGACTTTTGCAAAGCCAAAAAGTCCAGAAACTATTGACTTGTATTCGACAGAGTGTTCATTCGCCTCTGTATAACGAAACATGTGAAATTCCTTTCGTATTAGACTTGCAGAACTCACTTTGCGCTTCAAGATTACTCGTCTCGTTAGGCCTTCAGACGTTTCGTCGCGATCATTCCGAACATCAGGTGTCAAAGACGGACGTTCGGAATTGACATTTTAGTCCTACAACGGATGTTCGGAAAACCCGTTAAAAAATTTTACGAACATCCGTATTTTTCTTATTACGAACATCCGATATTTATATTGTAAAAGTGATGATTTTTCGAAGAAAAGCGGATTTTCGAAACGGACTACGACATTGGATGCTCGGAATGAAAAGTAGCGACGAAACGTCAAAATGCCTCTCGTTTTTCGTAGCTTCTCGGTTGAATGGAGTGTGAACGTGGCTGAAAAGGCAGTACAAACCCATATTTCACACCTCACATTCACACCCTTTTAATGATCCAATATTTTGTGTTTCTTGTGATGTTTAGATCGACCAGATCTTGAGCTATCATTTCTATACATTTGTGCTTGTATGTCACTACAAAAAGAATCCTAATGATGTTGAGTCTAATGATCACGAAGCTCTTGAAATCTCATTATCTGTCCGAATGATGACTCATAATTCGAAAACATATACATAAAAACGATAGTCCAAGACCTGGTCGATCTAAAAGCCACAAGAAAAGCAAAATATTGAAGCATTAAAACAGAAACACTGCATGGTGATTTTTTTTAGAAATCAAAAAAATGACTGCTTTTCATATTTCAGTCGAAAGTAATAACTTTGAACAATATTTGTAAAGCTTATTCGTCGCGAAAAAATCTCACAGCAGTGCCCATCATTAGAAAAAAAATTAGTTGATTAAGTTTGATAAATAGTGGGATTGTTCGAATTTATATTCACATCAAACTTTTAGGACACTCTGTATATATTTTTCAATTATATTTTCTTTGAATTTCATTTATTCACGTTGCTAATACATGGTTTGTCAAAGCTATAGTTGATGAATTAAAATCATTTACTTGTTTTTCATTTTATATTCATTATGGCAATATACGTATTCTTTTTCTATGGCACATAAAAATGAGCAAAAAAAATCCAATTTTCTTCCTACAATAATGTAGAATTTTTTTAGGTATCATATATTGCGCTACTACATACTAAAATGAAAGAATAATTACGTTTCTTTTTGTTTTCTTGCATTATTTTATTAAGTCATTGTGTAAAACAACAAATCAGTGCAACTGCGGGCAAAAGACATCAGAATAATGGAAGGTTAGCTTAATGTCTGATTATTTGATGTAGTTAGACAGATTAATTTAGATAAAGCATCAGCTTTTCAAGTAAATGTCACCAAAATATCTCGTCCGCAATCGTTGAAACATCAGCATAATCGACAAGCAGCATCAAATGCATTTATTCATGTAATTATCCAGTCATTGATTATTACTACTTGTCTTTCAAAAAACATAAATCTATTGTATTTTATCTTTTTTCTTTAATTCATATTTTTTTATACAGCTTTCGGCAAAGGCTGACACTCAACACCAGCGAAATACATCAAGAGCAGTATCACGTATTCAAACACCTGTAAAAGGATCTATACATGTCAGTAACGTTTATCGACAAGAATATTTTCCCAAAAGAATGAGAGACTTTCTAGCTTTTTCTTTCAGAATTGAAGTATGAAAGCATAATAAGTATTTGTGAGACATGAACTAATAGAAGTATGGATGCATAGGATTTGACATTTGGACCTATCCTTGCCACATAGACACTACATATATGGTGCAGAAAACTATCTGAATTGGTACCCACTGTTTGAGCTCATATTGGATTCAATAGGAAATCTCAATGAGACTAGGAAAAACCTAAAAGAGTTCGTCTTCGCGAACCTTTGGAGCCGGACTATGGCGGTTGTACTGAATTTTGGATCACATCTAACATATTTACTGAAAAATCAAATAACCGTATTTCGACCTGAAGTTTTGCCCACAAATAGACCGAATGGCTAGTAGAATATCCTGAAAGTTTCAGGCGATAAGAATGTTGTTTTGTCCAGATATTGAATTTTCAAGTAAACTCAGTTTTTCTTTGGCAGTTCAATATTTCGACCAATGAGCAATCTTTTGCCGTAAAACTTTCAATGTATACTAATGGTCATTGAGTTTATCTATGGGCGATATTTCAGTTCGAAATATAGATCTTTTTTTATTTTTATTTTTTCGGGTATACCTAAAGCTAGGTCGAAAATTCAGTAAAACGGTCATAACTCGATATGAAAGTCTCATGGGGGACGAATTCTTTCAGATATTCGGTAGTCTTATTAAAGTACCCTTGCAGGCACAATATGAGTTCGAACAATGTGTATTAGTTAGGGTAGTTTACTCGTTAGCAATAACACGTTACAAATGTCTCACATTTCTCTAGGATGGAGTAAAAGAACGATGAAGAAATATGTCTCAAAATAGATAGAAAAAAATGCTTTCTCTGTGATTAGCAATAGCAACAACATCGTGTTTCACATTTTAATTTCGCCGAAATTGTATTAACAACTTTTTTTCATCTAATAGTTAACACGAGATATCTCAAACAATGATATGTCGAAAAAAGCTTTGAATAAACAAAATATACATTCAAGCAATCAAATAATCAATATCAACAAAGATTTCATATTAAAGCCAACCAAAGTGGCTCATTGTCAGGTCAATATTAGTATCTTTTTTATTGAGTAAATTATTTTACTCTATAGGATGAAATTTTTTTAGGAATTCCATATGGATAATCAACATATGAAAGTAGTATACCGATTTTTTTATTTATTTATTTTGATAATAGTTATCAAAATCTATCTCTTGATTTAAATTAGATGAATGATCGAACGGATCTTGTGATGAATCATCACAAAAATCGTAAAAGAAATAAAAAGAGCAAGTATGCATTTTACTTTTTTCTTCTTTTTGATAGTCTAATTTCATGATGAATATTTTATCTAGATGTTCACGTCGGCGTGTCATTTTAGTGTTGCTTGCGACTTTCATTCTTATTGCAGTCATTGCTATAATTGTTGCTGTTCTCTTAATTAAACTAAATCAAACAACATCAAAAAATAGAAGTAAGCCATTGCATCTCCTTCATATCGATTATTTCGAAAAGAAGACAACATTGTTTATCATAAAATTGACACACTATATTAAACATAAATATTTCTGCTTTAGTAAGTGAAGCTATACTTCGTTGGAACACAACTGGTATTACTATAGCTGGTATTAGTAATGAACTTGGTAATGATAGTACTCATCTAAATACACCTTGGGATGTGACATTGGACTATCAAAATTCACTCTATATTGCTGATCGAAATAACCATCGAATTCAAAAATATCTCGCAGGTTCATTGAATGGAACCACAGTAGCGGGACAAGAGAATGGAACATCGGGTTCTACTCTAAGCTATTTACAGAACCCTTCACGAATCCTTATCGATGTCAATGGAAATATGTATATAACAGATACGGGCAATCATCGTATTTTATCTTGGTCTTCTGGTTCTTCTTCAGGAGTAATGATAGCTGGTACAGGTAAGAAGTATGGAATGGATCACTATTCTCTTCTCATAACAAATAACCCAGTACTATTTTAGTTTAATTGATATTTTTGCAGAAGTAAAATTATAACTACTTTTGTTGATATTTTTATAGGCGTAGGAGGAAGTTCGAATAATCAACTTCGTACACCATATGGAATAGCACGTGATATAAATTCTGATAAACTTTATATAGCAGACTATTCCAATAGTCGTATTATGTTATATTTAAATGGTGCATCATCAGGTACAGTTATTGCTGGTGGCAATGGACCAGGAACAAACGCAACACAATTAAAAAATCCTGTCGGTCTCTACTTTGATTCTTTATCAAATAGTCTTGTTATTGCAAATCATGCTGCCTGTAATATTCTTCGATGGGTAATAGGTGAAACGAGTTGGACTCTACTGGCTGGCAGCATTAATGGAACAGTAGGCAATACATCAACACTAATGAATTTGCCTGTTGACATAACATTTGATCCTATGGGTAATATGTATGTTGCTGATCGAAATAATCATCGAATTCAATTATTTATGGTCGGTCAATCAGATGGGATAACTATTGCAGGGGTCACAGGTATATCGGGAGACAATGCCACTCTACTGAACAGGCCATGGTCAATAAAACTTGATAGTCAATTAAATTTATATGTCGCCGATTCAAATAATCATCGTATACAAAAATTCCTACGTTATTAAATCCAAACATAATTAATTTAAGAAAAAGATAATGAACTTTATCTGTCGTGTGTTCTTACATTGAAATATATTTTCATTCTTTTATAGCATGAATAACTTAAAATAAAATCATTAATCCAATTCTAAAGATGACTGTTTTCTTCTCAAAGAGCATTTTTCTTTCTTTCTTTGGATTATTGAAGGTAAATGTACTAGTGTCATTTATTTCAACAACAGACTAGAATAATATTTATTTTCAAATTGTTTATTCAGGTATTTTTCAATCGTAATTAATCTGCTGAACTTACCACTTCTCTGCTCAGTCCATCGACATTCTTTTCCTTTTTTTTAACTACCTAATTCAACTTAACAAACTGTATGGACAAATGATGCTAAATTGAAAAGAGATGAAGTATATTTATACGAAGAAAAATTTATTAATCATAAAATTGATTATGATGTTCATCAATCAAAATATAACAAAAAATAGTATAAAGAAAGAAAGTATTCTTCTAAGGAAATAATGTATTCAATGAAAGCAGATGTGGATGAGGCTCTAGTTGTGCCTGAAAAGACGGCACAAATCCACACCCCCAGAATACCACTGATTTTTCTACATTTTGAGTCGGAGGATGTCCTTCTCGGAAACAATGACTTCTATATTACATGGACCATCGAATTTTGCACTGATGGACTGATGATTGATGTCTGGCAAACGAAGGCGCTCGCATGCAAAAGGAATCATGTTCCTGGGCTGACTCATATTTCAAAAGTTATAGGTAGTTTTCCGGTTCCACGAAAGATATGACTGATTGAATCTCATTGTTATTCTATATGTATGGTTCTGGAATGACATATAAAGCTATTTTGTCAGTGCATTATGTGACTGTTGCGAACAATGTATCATGTTATTTCAGTTCTATTGGATGCGTGCGACAGCTATGATGTCTACTCATTGATGGGGTGGTGCTTTCCAATAGAATAGTTATCAAGATCTTGGTAATCGATTGTGTTGTGATAGCTTCACATCGATCAAAAATAGAGTTAATCCAATAGTTCTATATTTTGGGAGAGGGGTCCTATAATTATATCACACCTGAGACTTGAAACTTTTGAAATTATTCTTTAATATTAATTGATCAAATTCAAACCAATATAGCACATGATAGATTGTTACTTTGTGCCCATGGACATATGACATTAGATCGACAACGAAAGCTTCTTTAGTTGTAGAAATATTTGTTGTTATCACAATTTGCAGAGGTCTTATCATTTTGGCATGCCTTACATCTTAATTATTCAAAAAATAAACTGATTTACCGATTGCATGTATGATCATTACAGAAGATCGATGGACTCAAATTTCTGTTTGATCATTCAACTTGGTCTCTATTTGTTTGTTCACAGTAGATCTATGCGTGTTGCAATTGATATGCATCAGCAAGCTTTAATATGAAAGCGCTTCGTGAGTTTTAGATAGAATGATCAACTTGTCTGCCAAGTTATCATTTCAGATTATTAAAAAAATAATTTCTTTTTACAGTAACTTAGACAACATGTTGTAGTTAGAAGATGAATATAGCAACATTTGACCCCTTGATGACCTACAATTTTGAAGATTAAGCTGTGATCAGCACGTTTTGTTCATGTAGTGTAATAATTTCCATGCGTGTTTTAATATTGATATGTTAAAGAAAAGCTCATCTAAACACAGTAGATATAAGAAGATTGTTGATAAAGATATTTCATTTTTCTCTTGAAGTTGAGTCATTTTGCATCTTCCCAATTTCAACAGGATGTGAATGTTTGACATCCACACATAGACTTCCAATATACATACTTATTTTCTGATTTATTTCCCCTTGCATTAGAACTATGGGATATGACACGAAAGCAAGAAAAAAAGTGACATTCATTCAAAAAGTAAAACGTAAGTAGAAAGTTATATTTTTCTTTTGTCGTTTCTTTTTGTCGTTCATCGGTATTACTCAATCATGGTTGTCAAAAGTGCTCTTGCACACACAAACTGTATGAGTCAAAGTGTGGGTGTGAGTTTGGAGTGTGGGTATGGACGGGTATGGGTGTGGGTGTGGGTAGGTGTGCGTGTAGATGAAGAGAAGACTATTCTTACGCCCACACTCGCACTCTACTCACACTCGCACCCTACCCACACCCACACCCACACTCGCACCCTACCCACACCCACACCCACACCCAAAACTGCACAGCTTGATTTTTAAGCGTTTCAAGTTTGTAAGTAATACATTTTATTGCACATTTTGAACTCCAAAATACCAAATCAGCCTCTGTTAGGTAGTGAATAGTACAGTAGGAATGTATCATCATTTCCAGAGAATGATAAATTAGACACTTGAAATGCCTAGTAATGAATATTAGACCTGGAACGAATCGGTTAGCTCGGGCTCGGGCTTGCTTATTGACGAACCGGCTCGGACTCGGTTTTAGTGAGGCAAGAGCAAGCCCAAACTCTGGTTCTCAAGCTGCGGAACCGGCTCGTCAGAAAATATCTGCGCACATTAATCGTGATAAGTAGCAAAATTAGTCTTCTGACTTTTTTGGGCGAGTGGTTTTGGAAGACGAAGATCATCTTGGATAAAAAGCTGTCAAAAGCTAGCAAATCGGATTTGCTACTTATCATATTGCTTCTCCCTCCAGCAAAATAAATATTTACTTTCCAGAAAGAATTTGAACCCGAGTCCGAGTCGGCTCGGCATTGTTGAAACTCGAGTTCGAACCCGTTTGTTGGTGCCTAAACCCGAGCTAGAGTCGGCTCATTAACATGGGAACCCGAGTCCAATCACCGAACCCTGACTCGGATCGTTGCATGCCTAATCAAGATAATTTGTTGGCTACTTCCTTCCTTATTGAGGCTCTTAAAGTTTTCTAGAATATTCATAAAGGTATACATTGACTGTGGTACTATCTACCATAAAAGTGTGAGGAATTGACAGACACACAGAACTAGTATAAAGATAGTCATAAGTATTTATTAATAATGATAAAAGCAGACCAATAACAATATTTAAAAATGATGATGTAAATTAAGTCATAGCGGTCTACTTTTTTTATACTGCAACACATGTTATCTTACATGAACATGGTATATGACAACATTTCTCATTTTCTTTGCATCCACCATCATTTGTACAAGTTCTTTGTACCATTTGAGGCATACAGGCTATACGACGACACATTAAGCCAAATGGTGGTTGAGGACATCTGCCTATAGAAACAAAATTTCACATAATTATTTTTTGATTCAACGCATGGTGTTAGACAAAATCGATATACCTTCATGCATAATTAAACCTTTATTAACCGATTGTGTCGACTGCACAACAGTAAATAAAAGACATCCGATCAACAATAAGATTGAAAGCTTCATGGATTTCATTTCAAAACGTCCTTAAATCCTACTCTTCAGTGGTAACACTGTTTTTATATATCAGCTAATGTTTAATGGTTATCTAACTATCCTTCTTTTATTACTATTATTTATCTTGAAAAGAAAAAATAACAGATGGTCTATTTTTGATAAATATTTACTTTGCATTAGAATACTTCAGACTTTTAACTTTACAGTACGATCATTTTTCTTATTCTTTTACTTCTAATATTTACGTATTACGATGGAGTAATTCACGAGACTCATTATTCGAATTTCAATCGTCTATAGTTTTAATTATCTTTTAGTCTGGAGACTGAAAACATGAACATTTTCAGTTGTTTTGTATACCTATATTGTTCAACATATTGAACAAATTCGAGAAACACGATCTAAAAATCGCACACCGGGGTAAGATCATGCGGATATGGATGTATGGGTGTGGGGTGTGGGTGTAGAAAAGTAGGAATATCACACAAACACCCACACCCAAATAATTGTTGAACTGCTTTACTATATTCAATCAATTTTGCAGCTGCACAAAAGTGGTGACGAGAAAAATATTTTTAGATTGTAATTACTTAGATAGCTGACGAATCGATCACTGTAATAAGTATTGCCTCCGACTCCTGATATACTCAGCAGAATATGCGGATTTTGCAAGGGAGAAAAAGCAGATTTCAAGATTCCCAAGGATTTCCAAAGATTTCTAAAGATTTCTAGAGATTTTCAAAGATTTTAGATGCCAAAATCTGCTTTTTCTCCCTTGGTTATCACCGATCGCATTTGGTCTGTTGATGGCTATTTACAAAGTCGAATATTGAACTAATCCATGCTTTTTCATCTTTTTGTTTACCTTTGGAAATATTGAAGAAGCTCAAGATATCTACACGTATGAGAAAAAAATGCATAAAAATCAGAGTTGAAGCCAGTAGGTACATTGTTTCAATTCGAACTTTTCTTCCACAAAAGGATGCTCGATTCGGAGAGTGATTGAAACTTGAAAGTACCGTTTTTTTTTTTACATAGAATTTCTTTTCTCATAAGCACGACATGCGCAGACCTCAAGAAGGGTTCATAGCGCATGAGTTCCTTGCGTCAGATGCTCATATATTTCATGCACATATCACAAGAGAGTTCACTAAAGTATGTCTGACATCTGCTTGTAGGTCTCTTTTTACTACTATCGATGAACATCATTATTTTTTTACTTGTTTATCTCTGTTTGGTTTCTTTAATAATATATCGAAGTGGAATTTATTCTGCATAAATCAATCAATCATAAATGTCGTTTCTCAGATATCGAACGAACATCTATCTAATCGTTTAGTCGAAATATAGTTTCGCAATTTTTATATGTTAGTCAATGTTTATGGTAGGTTCCATTCATTTTCATGATTACGACGACGGATCAAGCCGGCATCTTGATGTGGCAGTATGTAGTTATACATGTATGCATTTGTCTTCGCCATGCGATGATAGACTTTCAATTTGGGATTCCATTCTTTCACGCAGTTGCTGGTAGTCTCCTCATCGCCTGATAGGCATTCTGATTGATAACAAGCTGCGTCAGCCACACCAAGGTTGACGTTTCCTGTACAGGCAACAGAATGTTCGGCATCATCCGGAAAACGTTTAGTTGGATGGTTAGTGATGCCTCCTGGCCCCCATGCCCAGTTGGCAGTTCTATCCGCGATGATCCAAGCCTCTTCATCACCATCGAGATCGATTAGATTATTCCAGCTTTGCAAATAGTCATCAATCGATTTCGGATTACGAAAATCGCCGAAGTACGCACACTCGGTGGGCCCAGGAAGGCCAACGGTCTTTTTATCGTGATAAGAACCGTGCGCAATTTTGCCAGAATATACGACTGGATGAGTACCACTTCTTTCAAAACCAAAAGAGCCCGAGCAACGTCCAGCACCGGCTGGGGCACATGGAGCATCGCGCGGACCAGCAATTCGAGTGTAGTGTCCACTATGCTGATAAAAGCTGACAGCAGCCACAGCAGTACGGTCTTCTGTCAAGATCACCATTACATGTTCCCAATCTCCATTGTGCGCACCTTGATTTAAGAAACATGGATACTGATAGCCATAAAACCACCAGTACATAATGCGAATATGATTGCCAATGGTACGAACCCGATAATAAGTCGGTATCTTGCGATTTGTCAGTGTTAAGCGATCCAAATTTTCCACTCGAAATGGACCCGATTGATACTTTTGTAATGTTTCATAAAATTCTTGAGCCGACATCGGATAGCCCTTCGATGCACGGTCAAACCGTAGTTCAGGTGCAAAACGTCGCACATAATCAGGAACCGTTGATTGTGTTACCACATTACGGAACAGCACAGTCACGATGCTCGAAACGAACCAAACCATAACGAAATCCTTCCACATGAATGACATTTTACGATGATACTTGAAAGAACAAAAATGAGACAAAAGACCTGATACAGCTTAGTAACAAACGTGCTACTTGGAATGAACACAGAAATAAAAACTGTTACCTACTGAAATACACTTATCAAGCATTTCAGGACTCCATTACTAGCGTATTTGGACTTGTTATCAAAAGGACTAAAATATGGAATCGTTCTGTTAATTAAAGAAAGACGACAGAATTTTAGACGAGTGCCGAACATCTCATATGAATATGGATATCTAACAACGATATATCTTGCAGTAAGCAATATCATTGCTTATCAATTTTCTACCTTTATCGAACAGTTCTGTAAGGTCATTTAGAACAGGTTCATACAGTCTATATCCTTTGATTTGAGTTGAACTCAACTACCCGTGTGAGATCACTCTTTGAGGGGTCACTATCAATTTTTCAACGCTACAATGGTCCACCGTCTCTCTATTTTTCCCACAGCGGATGATTTTATCAATCTCAAAGTATTATTCAAAGATAGTTTTTTTTTTTATTGAATCAAAGTTTTTTTAAGCAAACCTGATGAACCAAACAGGAATGACGAGAAGGCAGGTTAAATTCGATGAGTTGTCAAAACTAGTTTTATCATCACAGTATTTAAGAGAATGTTGTTATCTTATTATCAACAACAACCTGCAATAACTGTCAAATAGGGCATGTTGTCGTTCTTTTTCACCTTCTATTGTGATTGATGATACTGAAAAATGAGACAATGTCATACTGAAGTTCACGAGAAGAAAATGAAAAATACGATAACAGTAGCTTGTAGATAGAATTCTGCATCAACATACACATACAAGCAGACAATGTTGGCACATAAATTCGGTAAGATTCGAAGATGTTTTAAGTGAATTCAAACCAAATCCTGATCATATGCAGCTTCCGTTACAACCGTAGTGATGAGGTAATAAAGTAAAAATCACCGCAATTCCATAACGGCTATACATGTAAGAATATCATATAAAGTAATCAGCGCACGATTACTTTGCCTTTTCATGATCGTCTATGTGAACAGAGTTTCACTACAATCAATTAAACTTCAAACAATATCATTCGTCAATAAATCTTTCTTGACAGCAAGCAATAGTCATGAATCAAATCAAAAACAGATCGACGTATATCTCCATGAAAAACATAAATCAATCTACTTATCTCAACTTTTGCTTTTCAGCAGTCGATTAAACCGAAAACTAAATAATTATCTTAGAACAAAATATTAATGTGCTTCAATTACAATTACTAAAAAAAATGTCGAATTTTATTCACTGCCACGTTTCGTTTTTTGTTTGTTAAAATATTCTAACAGGGTGTGGGTGGGTGCAGATACCCTACATCCCACAGTGCAGAAGTTTTTTAAACAAAGTACTTTCATCTATTCAGTTTATTATTGTTATTAAACAATGTTCTATGTAATGCCTATCGATCGGTGTTTCATCATAGTTTCTTCATTACAACTGATGTTGATAGAGTTTGCTGATCTACAATGATATTTTGATTGATAATACCATGGCTAATCATGGATGTAAATGATTTGAACGTTATTTATTGTATCATTTATCCACTACTGTCGAACATATTTATATAAGATGAATTATTATATATTTTCCATAGTATCAATAGTGTGCACTTGAAAAAAATGAGATTCGATATCATTTCGTCAAACTTTTGATTGAGCAATCTCTTAGCTTTTATCGACTAACATGTATGCTAGGAAATCATTCCGTCTCTACAGAAAAAATCAGATCGGTCTTTCGAATGTTTTTGGCACAACCTAAGTCCAGTATTACGTCAAAGATATACTAAAGTTTTCTTAATCTTTTTTAAATTTTGATTCGACATCATATGTATGTAGTTTTCTTAAGATTACGTTATCCAACAAATATTATATAGATGGATATAGGATCAAGTCACATAAATATCTTTCCAGATAGTAGAATTGTTTTTTCTGCAATAAATGCTTATGAGATCAGTCAAAACTAGACCTAGTGACGCAATATGGTAGAGTCAAAGTTTGGTCAATCAATTTGAAAACATTTAGGATTAGCTGGTAGTTAAAGCGATCAACAGCTTCAGAAAAAGCTAGTCGAAACGGTTTGTATTTTTGAATCGAGTCAAAATATCCTAAAAGCATTCCTTGTTATATTTTCCAGTAATGAAAAATCACAAAAATGAAAATTTTTTTTTTCGATAAAACATATTTTGTTGCATTGTTCAAAGCCATTCGTGCTTGTGTTGTGATCAATAGAAAAGATCACAAACAAATGAGCTAAGGTGGGTTAGGCCTTCTAACTCATTGGGGTGTGGATGTCACATTGATTGAATACCCACACCGACACCCCACATCTTCACACCCAGTCAAAGTGCATGATGTTACAGGTCATTTTCATCAAGAAGGTCTTATTTTAAAAGTTTAAAAAATACGTATAGACGATGATACACATTTCTTTTTGTTATGTTTTATCTTATTATAAAACAACAAAGAAAAAAGTCGATGCTTTTGAAACGAATATAAACTAATTCTTTTGTGCATAAAAGTAAATTGTTGTGAGAAGATAACTGAGAATGAATAGATTATATTCTGCTTCGAGTCAAAAAGAAGAATTGTTTTTAAACATAAACATGTTATATTAATCAGTTATAATAAAAAGGAAGCTCATCAACAAAGAGTAATTACTATTGTACAATAAAAACAAAAGTACAACAGATTTCTTGAAGATCAGGATTTATTTCAATACAAAACATAAGAGAAGAAATAGCCGTATCAACGATCTCCATTGCATGGCATGGCGTTATGTTGATCCTTTTCAGTAGCTCATTTAAAATTAGCGACACTTGTATGCTTTTTAATCAATACACCCAAAATCCTGTAGTACTTTTCTTAATCAGTGTTTTTGAAGTTAGCATTAATTACAATTTTAATCGCTAGTGCGTGTGTATATGCCAAGTGTAGCTTGGAAACAAATGTCTGATACTAAACCAATCCGTTTCAGCAGACTACAGATCATATATGATTAGTGATATAAAGCATAGTGAGAAATGTGAATCAATCTCAAATGCACTATGCATGGTAACATCTGATTTGAGTGGAAGGGTCAGAAAAAAATTATGATAGAAATACCTTAAAATAAATGTTCTTTGGAACTACGATTTAATTTTTACATAATTCCAGTTTCGCGTAAATGATGGCACCACACTGCAATCATAGTTTGACAGAAGTTCAACCAATTTTTCTGGAGAAGACATCAAAAAATGATGTCGTTAAATCAACTCCATAATTTTAGTTTAACTATCGAACTTTAGTTCTCAAGATCAGTTTCGCTTTAGTATATAAGAGGATCTCACATTTGACATTAATTTGATGAATTATCCAGATGTGATAACTGACTAGAAAAATATGTCATATATCAGGTGAAAAGTGTGCTATAAAGCTAGTTTTATTTATACACTTAAAAGATTTTATTAGTTATTTCTTATATCAGAATGAATTACATAAGAAATAAGAAACACAAAAACCTAACGCTTCAATGAATTCAAAACTTTCATTCATATAAAAATTACTCTATTCGTGCATATTCTTCTTTCTTGTACACGTTCTACATGGCCTTTCTTAGCCCTGATTTCCATAATTATGTCATTATATTTCAAGATTATACCTGGATATTGTTGATCGTGCCAAATTACTAAAAAATGCTAATTAGCTTCAGTAACTAATAATCTAATAAACACAGTTGTTTCTCATTAAGAAACATCGTCAAAAAAAAATTTCATATAAATGAAAGATACATGTGTTCTATGCCTATTATTGATTATCGGTTGATAATGTTAACAGAAAAAGACAGTAATTATATGGTAAAAACTGATGTTAAATCGTGACAAATGAAAGTTTACTTCCTTTTACGTCAAACTTTTCTATCTTTTTCTATCTGTACTTATATGTTAAAGCAAAAAGATATAGGTCAATAGTCTACTTCTGTTGCAGAAGAAAATTAATCATTTTTAATCAAGAACATCATCGTTATAAGTCAAAATGTCAACAACATTTTCTTTTGTTGGAAAACAAATAATCATCTATTGTGGAACACCCATCTTTATTGGTGGTGTATGTGGAGGACTTCTTAACGCTCTTGTATTACTTAGTCTTCGAACATTTCGAGAAAGTTCATGTGCATTTTATTTAATTATAATGTCTATTTTTAACATTGGTCAATTGTTTACTGGTCTTTTTTCACGGATTATGATCGCACTATATGATATTGATGGAACAGAAACATCATTATTCTATTGCAAATTTCGATTCTATTTATTTCATGTATGTACTGCAACTTCATTGACATGTCTCTGTTTAGCTACATTCGATCAATACTGTGCTACGTGTTCTCGTCCACGTTGGCAACAATTATGTAATATTAAATTGGCTCAACGTCTAGTAATCATAAGTATTATCATATGGGCTTTGCATGGAATTCCATTTTTAGTGTATTTTAATCATATTCAATCGTCTGTTACAAACAGAGTCACATGTACTAGTACAAATATTATTTTTACTCAATATCGTGCTTTTATTATCCTTCTTGGCCTTATTGGATATCTACCCGTTACTATTGCAACTTTATTTGGATTGATGGCTTATTATAATGTACAACAAACCACACATCGTGCGATGCCTCTTGTTCGACGTGAACTAGATAAACAGTTAACTATAATGGTTCTGGTACAAGTTGTCGTAAATATCTTTACTTTGATACCATATACTACTGTCAATGCTATAGCAACCAATGCAAACAGTATACATGATCCAGTTCTACAAGCCAATCTTCTGCTCGTCATACCTATAACTCTCGTCATTTACTATATATATTTTGCAGTAAGTATTAAATACTGAGAAATTATTAGGAATAATCAGTGACCATTGCAGATTGTTACATTATCAGATAGTTGGTAGCAGAAATGTATAAAAACATGAAAACTTGTTTCTTATTTAATTATGTCATTTTTAGAGTCCATTTTACATATATCTTTGTGCATCGGAACGTTTTCGTCGACAATTTATCTATGTATTGTTCACGATTCATCCCAATCGATGTAGACGACCAAGAATGATTAGGAATCAAGTCATATCAGAGACATAAAGATTAATAGTTATTGATTAGCTTAAACATTCTTTATTATTATTATTATTTTTCTATCCTTGAATTAGTTTTCACTTGTATATTTTATGTAAAAATAAAATAAAAATATTGCATGATAATGAAAGTTATCCACTGTAAGTAATGGTTACTTTTTATGTTATAAGATAAGATAGTCATGCCGATGTAAAAATTTTACCTTTAGAATGTATGACTCAAATTGTTAATTTCTGTGTATCATTATTGATTTTTTTCTAAATCATCTTTTGTAAATAGGGTAGGGTGTGGGGTTGGTGCCGGTGGGTGTGGGTGTGGATGGGTGTTGGTTTTAATCAAAGAAGAAACACATCCACACCAACACCCTGCAGTCAATGTATGGACAATCTATTTGATAACATTTAGGATTAGCTGGTAATAAAAAGGATCTACAGCTTCAGAAAACTCAAGCCGAAACAATCTATATTTTTGGATCGGGTCTAAATACCTTCAAATCATATCTTGTTATTTGTTCCAATAATGAAAAATCATACACATAGAACTTTGTTTTCCGATAAAACGTATTTTGTTGCATTGTTTCAAAGTCATTCGTGCTTGTGTTATGTTCAATAGAAAAAATCACAAACAAATGAGCTAAGCTGGGTTAGGCCTTCTAGCTTACTAGGTTGTGGGTGTGAGCGTAACATTGATTAGATATCCATAGCGACACTTACGCTGACATCAACCCACACCCCTACAATAAAGTGAGAATAGAAAAGTAAAAACAATACATAAGATGTAAAAGGAATATTGAAAATTATGCATACAATCCACTCAACGAGACGCATCAAAACTAATACGAAGGAAATCAAAAGCATCTCATTTTCATCAAATACCAGACCACTGGTAACTAGAATCTACTAGAGAGATAGTTTGATTTCTTTCAGAACATTTCCTTTTCTTAACCGTTGTAAGTGAATAGATGTTTCGTTGTTTCAAGGCTGTAAACACTCCAAGACTGCCAAAACCACTTTCTGCACTAATCACATGTTGTTCACAAAAACTGAAGAGGAAAATATCAAACATGGCCAGATTTAATGCTAACGAACGCTGTGATGTGAAGGCAACATGAAGAACAGAATTTGAATCGGCTATCACAGGCAAAGAGTTTGTCTGATTTCTGCATGCATCTCCGAATGATTGAATACAAGCGTAGCAAAGCTGCTAGACGAAGTCGGACAGTGTCTGATATGAGAAAAGCTATCGGTGCCTGTTTGACATCGGTGAGAAATGTTTGATTTCCATCAACGATATCTCGCGCACAAGTCAGAAAATATTGATATGATTTAAGCAGCAAGTTCTCACTGGAAAAAAATTTGAGGCATCTCTGAAGCTTATCAAATGTCATCGTCCAATCTCCAGTACGCACTTGAATGCCAATAGGATAAAAGTTGGGTGACAAAAGTACTTGTAGTAGTTGCTGTGGGGTATGATCAAGCTGTGGCTGTTGCAGAGAATTGGCACCAATGCTCGTCGATATTCTTTCAATTAATGCTGACAATCGATAGAGCAATAGTGAATGATAGAGACATCCGAACATATTATCTGCACTCATGCGCAGATCTTCTGTCAGAAATTTACGATAGACACTCGTTCGTGACTTCATCATATGTATAATGCCTCCTGTATGAGCTCGAAAAATGAGAATTCGCTCTGGAAATTGTCGATCGTAGTCATAATCGCGATTTAGTCGGTCAAACGAAAACTTGTAATGGCCTGATGTGAGATACTTTGTATTATTTTGAGATAGATTGCTATTCAGCTGGTCTAGACTACGAAACCATGGAATCACCGATTCTCTTTCATAATCTAAACTTGTCAGCATTACATGAGGAAACTCTGACCAGTCAGCGTCAAATATGAACAATCGATTCGTCAATATCGCGATCAGATAGGTTGTCATTAAATGAGTAATGCGGTCAGCAATACCGGAAGGGTGCTTTTCATATAGCATGAAACGAACATTTTGGTCGACGATGCGATCACGCTGCTGCTCAAAAGTCAATCTTGGATCACTAATGCTTGAACTAACATTTCCATGCCAATCTTGATATTTTGAAATCCATCTGTTAAATTCTGTAGAACAGACTTTGGGATTCGATCCCAATTCGAATGGACTAAGTTTTCTTGTTCGTTTCGTTGATGACAATAAGGTGTTCAATGGATGCTGTGTAGCGAGTGAATTTGTTTTCGTTGCATTGTATTGTACATCAAGCCAATCAGAAATGGCAATTCGTTCATTATTGAACAATAGTCGGGATGTAGAATGAGTTAAAATACTTGTAATCGAACAGGAAAACTGGCGTTGAGAATAATGAGTAGGATGCGTTCTAAGATCGTTCAAAATAAAATCTCTACAGGATTTTTTCAAGGGCTATTGAGGCCAATGAAAAAAATTCAAAACATTCAAGTCGAGCCATTGATATGTGAAACTGAAAACAGTGCTAACGGAATATATCCTAGTGGCTTGGACAATTATGTAAGTAATTTGATCGTTTTGTTTATTGATTGGAACGGTTGAGATGACTAAGAACTGATCAGACACAACTATAGAATGGAAAGTAACATTTATTGCTTGTGTATCAAGCGTCTTAACATTGAAATGTAAAGTAAAATTAAAACATGGTTCAAGTGTCGTTTCTTTTGTGTGCCTGTGTAAACATGTGACTCTTAGACGTCGAATGGAACCTTGAAAACTATCGGCTTTGCTGTGCAGATACGCCACGAGAGAACGCATATTGAATTTAAGTGTTAGACGATCATTTTGATAGGTCGGTGAGAACGGAGCAGTAGTATAATGGGAAAAGTGTTGTTTGTAGATTCGGTTTAGTGCATTCGATGAGTGACGCATAATAATTTTTGCGTCAAAAGTAAATGGATATTGTTCCATCTGGTAAACTGCTATAGGTACTTGTCGAAACATACTTGTTATATCTATTCTCTCGGGAGTCATATAAAGATAGAGTAATAGCAGAATCGTGAATACAACCAAACTCTTTATTCTATTCTTTGCAGCAATACAAAAAGCTGAGAATAGTTGTCGTCTCATGTAGAATAATTAAGCCAGCAAATAATTCATGGTACAATAGCAGATCTGTAAGGAAATAAAAGAAAAAAATATTATTTAAATCTGTATGACCATATCGAAGTACAAATAAATAAATCTTGTCGAAACGAAATAAAGCAAATGCTTCGTCTAGTACGTATCGCAATAGAAGCAGTGAATTTAGAAATTTAATTAAATTTGATGTCATGATTTTGTATAAAACTCGAATTCTAGAACAACCATTGCTGTGACTTCAAGTTACCATAGCGTATTTTTTCTAGGCTACATAGAGAGAACAAGTGGTTTCGGTATGGGAGGTCGTTTTTTTTTAATTGGAATAGAATATTTTCTTTTTCGGCACTTTTATTTATAACCACACTCACATTCACAAAGACAAGCACGCAAAAAAAAGACTTAGAATTGTTAGTGCTTGTATTTTTCCTTTTTTTTCTTCTTCGTATAATAATCCTGACAATCACAGCCGTGCAAGAGACAGAAAGGTATGTTGTAATTGCATCGCAATGTTTTCCAACATGAGTATAAGAAGAAAAAAGAAAATGAGCATTTCTGATTCTGATTGTTACTTTGCTGTTCAAAAATGATATGTTGAACATATCGAAAACTTACAGTTGTTCTTTTTGACTAAAGTGGGAAAAAAAGGATAAACGGACCTGTATTACTAGCATTATCAAATGTATATCGTTATTTTTTAAATTCTAAAAGAAAAAGTACGATACAAATGATTAGCATCAGCGTCACGATGATCGCCGAGATTTTGCTAGTTTTCATAAAAATAGGTGATTAATTGTAACCTACTTGCTGAATTTGGTTAGGAACGAGTCAAAAAAAACTTGTCAATGCAGTTCTGTTGATGCTGAAATGTGGAACTCACAATCTCTGAGTTTTATGAATTTATGACAAAATGTCAAAGGTTTCAAAAGAACGTATTAAAACAATGTTCAGTAAATAAATAAATCAGAATTATTAAAACTTTATATTTATAATTACTGTAAAAAGAAGTTATTTTTATTGTCCGATACATCTCGAATGCATAATTTGTATCCACATAATAACGATAATATTTATAGAACTTATGTGAAATATAAATAAATACTAAAAATGTATTTAAAAATATTAAGTAATAAATATTAAAAAAATATTAAATAGTATATACTAAAAAATTATTAAATATTATATAGTAAAAAAAATATTATTTATTGATTATTAATTAATTGACTCATCATTTCACTAATTAGCTAATTAGTTGATTTGTTGCTGATGATCTGTAATGGGGTGAGGAGGGCAACGGTTGCTATGGAAACATATCCAATAATGTATGGTTTAGCACCATATGGTTGCTAAGGCCTAGGTGGGAAGAGCCACAAAAACCTCGACTTAAAACTTACACTCACTATTTTCTTCGAAAATATATGTGAATTCCACAAAAATTACTAATTAATTGTATTTCAATTAATAAAATAAAGATCTATCTCATGGAAACCAAAGATATAAATAGTTTATTGTTAATGCTAGAAATTTTTGATAAACAGACTGTACTTTTCTTGCATGGAATACTACAACTTTTCTTTATTTATGTACATGATGGCAAGGACATTCCGTTTGAGTTGTCGATGGATAGAAAAAATAAGTTGAAGTGAAATATTTCGTTTGTGAGATTAACTCCATTTTCGATTTACTTAAGCAGCAAACGAACCCATCAGTAAGTAATCTAGCTTGGACGAACATTGTTTGCTTCCATAGTTTATCTAGTGAGACTTTATATTAATTGATCTGATTGTTTACATGTTCATGGATATTTCAAGAATTAGCGATTAATTATCGAGTACAACAAACATTCAAATGAACAGCTGGTTTGATCGTAATGCCAATCATGTAGAAGCAATCAACTCAAGCAAGATTATTATCTGAATGCGCCCATATGCTGATATACCGAAGATTCAAGGCTATATAGTTAATTATGTTAGCTTTGAAAAGACAAAGAATTGATTGCGATAATAATTGAGAGAAGAAATTTTAGTGTAGATCGAAGTACACTGCGTGTGGGGATGAGTATTCACACTTAATCTACATTCGCCACACCCTCTCTCCAGCCAAACTCCCACTCAGAATATGTTTGTTTTTGAAACAAAATATCATGGTATAATGCTACATAAAATGATATGCCAACAGTATTGTTTAATGGTGAACTGAATGTTTGACTATTCAATTGGGCATAACCATCATTTTACTGGTTTTCTTACAGAGAATGATAAACACGTTTAGTTTCGATTGATGTGATCCATGCTTTTATTCGACACATTGATATTATTCCTTCCCTATTAAGCCTTCAACTAGATACGTTTCTTCAGGCAGTTAATAGAAAACGATTTTAAAATTCGTAGTAAACCAATCTTTTGCCATTGTTTAAAAATTCGTAAACGCAATAAAAAAAGACTCCTCTCTTATTGCTTATCATGAAGCAAATATGAAAGCTATAAAATCAATTCTTATAGATGGACTTGTAATGCCAAGTGCAGTAGTCTCCATTGGATTACGTATTTCGTCTGCTATCTAACCATATTTCGCTAGGAGTATCAGTTTTTGGTGTTGCTGGTTTTGAAAATTAAATATTTGCAACACTAAGTATGCACTATTGTTCAAATCCGAGAACAACAGACACGTGTGCACATGATAATTATAGCAGTATTGGAATGTAGTGTAAAAGATAGTTCATTCAAGAGCTTCAACAGTATTGTACCAATTTCTGTTCCTCATCAAGTTGATGAAATCAACGCAATTGAATGGTGTCTAACAGATCCAGCAAACATTGAGATTATATCTGTACTTTTCATTTCTGTGATAGCGGCAAAAATCAAGCAGCACGATTGAGAGCAAAGAAATTTGATGTTGATCTAACGAGGGAAAGTCGCCAACTGTTCAATCGCTTTTTAGTCGGAACTATGTGCATCATGTAGGTCCTAATGAGCTATGAATACCCTGAAAAGAGTTCGGGCGGCTAGCTTATTATTGTCGAGATAATGCATTTTTATGGTATTTTTAACTAAGCACAATGCCGTAGTCCCCCTCAGGAACCAGAAAAACTGAGTTTCGAGTTTTGTCTTGAAACTTTGTACAGAAACAGACCTCAGTGAGAGTAGTTTATTGTGAAAGTTTCAGGCCTTTTGGTTGTTCCTATCCTAAGATACAGCTAAAAAGGGTGTTTTTACACTGCTCGTATACCCTCGACAGGTTCCGATGTGCTTATTTCAGAATAGGGGCAACCAAAAGATCTGAAACTTTCAAAATAAGCCACTCTCATTGAGATCTGTTTCTGTGCCGAACTTCAAGTCAAAATTCAAAACTCAGTTTTTTTGGTGCTCCTGAGGGGGACCACGGCGTTCTGCTTAACAATATCGTAAAAATGCAGTATCTCGACAGTAATGGGCTAGCCGCCCGAACTCTTTTCAGGGTATTCATAGCTCATTAGGACCTACATGATGCACATAGTTCTGACTCAAAGGCGATTGAACAGTTGATGACCTTCCCTCGTAAGTAGTATTAAATAAAAATGAACGATGGTTCTCATCATTTTTTAATGATTTGTTTAATTTTTCATTTTGTTTTTAATTTATGATTTTTGCACTCATAAATTATATTAGATTTTATAGTACAGGTAAATTCCTTAAAACAGCTTTTTTTTAACGTATGCAATTCTCGTTGAAGAAACTCTATTTCTGATATAAAATGCATATTTTATGAAATATGAGTGATTATTTTTTAAGAAATATTGTTTTCATCACATTTATCAAATATATTATCATTCCTACATTTTTTTTTGAACTTCGAGAAATACTCTGTTATTTGGTCAATAATGGTTCATAGTGTGTTTCTTTCATCCTAGAATTCTTTATTGATGTCAAAATATGACCCTATGTTTGCAAATTCTTCTATTAACAAAATTTTGAATTTTGACTGATCTATGTGGATCACAAAACAAAAAAGTCGATAGATATATGAAATAAGTTTCATTGACATGTAACTTCACATGTTCATTATAGAAATAAAGATGTGCTGTTGCGAATATTCATTGGCTTTTGTCAAACAAGCGAATCTTTTGGAGACATTATATCACTCTTAAACTCATGGTCAGCTTTTGCTCATAAGCAGGACACAACGATTTTTTTAGCAAAAGAAAAGTACGCATGATTTTTCTAATCATTTTTGTGAAACATCGTAACGAAACTCGCTTATGTTGCTCAATTTTTGCAACAAAAACCATATTTCCTGACAGCATTCAACGAACGCCACCGAATACACTCATTCTGAGCACAGGTTCATTTAATATTCACATTCATTTCATAGAAATACTTCACGATGGAATTTCTTTAGTAGAGTGTAGATGTGAGTTTAAGTGAGGGTAAGAGTGAGTAGATGTAGATCAACACGAGACGCACTTCACATCATGCACCTACACCCCTTCTTGTCTTATTTATTCATAATTTTCTTTTGCTTCTTGTTAGAAGTTCGTATGTATGTCAGTTTCTCCTATAGCTTCCTCAGATCCCTCCTGCATATTATATTCCCTTGCGTCAGAATTATTTTCTAATAAGTGCTTAGATGAAGCTGTCTAATCAAGTGTAGACTCATTGTAAATTTCGAATGATGAGGCTGACATGAAATTATTTTCTCTTCATTCGCATGCATACTCACACATACAAGCATACAACCACATCCACAGTGGATCACTAGTAGTATTGTTAAGAATTTTAAAACAGCAGTGTATAATTAATCATTACATGGAAAAAATTTAACAGAGTTTGTACCTTGGTATCATGCTATATATAAATATCACGTGTTGTAAATAAAAAAACAATAGGTTTAAAATCAAATAAAGCGCTTTTTCTAACAGTTGGCATAGAAACGCTGTGTTCTGCAGATTTTTTTTTTCATGGTCAATCTTCTTTCTCTTTGACGACTCTTCTGATTTTAAGAGTTTCTTTTTTTCTTTATTTTAACTTTTCAGTTCTCTTTCTCACACATGTTGTCAAGCGAGGAAGAAAATAAAAAGTAACTCTTTTCACATCACATTTTTTTTGTGTTTATAGGTAAAAGAACAGGCGACAGTATAAAAACATTTCTCTACAAACTTATTCTTCATTGGCACGTGTTGAGCAAAGATGACTCTTGTTTTGCATCGAGATTCGAAGCAAGTTATCTCAAATAAGGAGGGTATTCGCTTGATAGTTTTGAGCGACCCTCAACAGTTAAATGACATTGAACCGGCGATATTGGCAATGAATCCAGCCGCACAATTCTACACAAACTCACAACAATGTATTGATACAATCAAAGAGATATTTAATGAACAGATTCTCATTGTTGTTTCGAATTCATTTGCCACAGAACTTCTTCAATCGATCCATGATCTCAGAGTCGTGATTGGCATTTTCATCTTTGATGATCAAGGACAATCGACCAGCCTTAGTGAAAAATATCCGAAAATCATCGATATCGTCTCCGATAAACAGATTCTTCTGCAATGCCTTCGTGAAAGATTACAGCGATTTGAAAGAATTACATTGGACTTCAGTCTATTCAATCAAAACCAAAAGTCCACACGAGATTTAACAAAAGAATCAGCTTCATTTCTTTGGCATCAGATGTTAATTTATGTTCTCAAACAAATGCCACACGATGATCGTACGATGCATGAAATGCTTGATCAATGCGCTGAATATTATCAAAATAATCAAACAGAATTAGCGAAAATTGAACAATTTCGAACAACTTATACAAGTGATCGAGCTATTAATTGGTATACCGATGAATGTTTTCTCTATAAACTTCTCAATCAAGCTTTACGTACGGAAGATATTCAACTTCTCTATTCATTTCGTTTTTTCATTATTGATCTTTGTGCCGAACTCGAACGAGAAAGCGAAAAGATAAAGAATGAAGGTCATCTTACTGTCTATCGTGGACAAATGATGCACAAAGAAGAATTTCATAAACTACAGCATAGTATCGGTGGATTAATTTCCACGAATGGATTTTTCTCAACGTCACGTGATATAAACATCGCGTTTGGCTTTTTAACAAAATCCAATTCGACTAACGAAAGAGTTTTGTTCGAGATTCAAGCCGATCCGTCCATACTTGGTGTCATTTGTGCCGATATATCTTCTATGGGATCGATGCCTTGGGAACGAGAAGTTCTCTTCAGTCTCAATACCGTATTTCAGATCGTCTCCGTGAACACCGATTCGACACATGATGCTTGGAAAGTACAACTAGTTGCTAGTGATCAAGGTGCACAAAAAGTAAACGAGTATGTTAAATGGCTTCAAATCGAAATCGACTATTCGAGTCCATTGGTTTATTTTGGTCGACTTCTCTGGAGTGAATTTGGTCAATTGACTCAGGCAGAAAATTATTTCAAGATGCTTCTTGATACGTTACCAGTTGATCATCCGGACATGGCATCAGTCAACTTGGAATTCAGCCATGTCTATGATGAAAAAGGTGACTATGATTTGGCACTACAATATTCCGAACGCGCATTACATATTCGACAGCAACAAAAACCTATCGTTCCCCATCGTCTTGCTGCCTGTTTGAATAGTATGGGTGTGATCTACAGACATAAGGGTGATCTAGATCGCGCTCTCGATTACTATCAACAGTCATTAACTAAATACGAAAATGAAGTGTCCAGTGGTAAGCATCTTCATCATGCTAATACGTTGAGGAATTTAGGTGGTGTACACAAAGACAAAGGTAATTTCGATATAGCACTGGACTATTTCACTCGTGCTTATGAAATATATCAAGAGCTTTTACCTGCTGATCATCCTCGTCTTGCCGATGCTTTGTCAAACATTGGAAGTATCTATCATCATCGAGAGGATTTTGATCAGGCTCTCGGTTTTTATCAACAAGCTCTAGATATTCAAGAAAAGAATTGTCTCGATGATCATCTGCAAAAAGCAAATACAATTCGAAATATTGCTCTTATATATCGCGATAAAAAAGATTGGAGCAATGCCATGAATTATTGCGATCGTGCATTGACTATGTATCGACGCCTCTTGTCTGACATTCCTCATCCCAATATCGCGGTCTGCTATGGCGATATCGGTAATGTTTATGAGAAGATGGGAAATTGGGATCAAGCAATCGATTATTACCAACGACAATTGGAAATGGAAGAGCAATGTCTTTCGGTCGATCATCCGTATCTCGCCCTGCATTTTGATTGGATCATTAGCACGCTGAAAAAGAAAGGTAACAGCAGTGAAGCTAGAAAATTATGTGACGAGAAACTGACCATGCTGCCAGATTTGTTAGGAAACGACTATGCTAACCATCCAAGATATGCTCACACTTTAGTGTCGTTAGCGACAGTATTGGAAGATAGTGATTTTCACAAAGCACACGAATACTATAAGCAGGCCTTCGCAGTACTCGAACGACATTCACATTTGGAAGCCAATCAAGTATGTCTGTCAGCCATGGTAAATTTCTTCTGGAAGAACAATATGTACGATCAAGCCTTAGTTTATCAACTGAAATTAGTTGATTTTCAACGTGCTACTCTATCGTCAAACAACAAGGAATTAGCTGTTTCATTGCGTGGTTTAGCGCGTCTCTATAAAGCGATGAAGAATGATAAAGAAGCAACTAAATATTTCAATCAAAGTTTGGAAATCTTTCGCACCATTTACGGACCTCACCATGAACATGTCAAAGATATCTCAAATGAACTAAATCAATTAAGAAACTATGTCGCTGCCTCCAACACTGTAAAGAA